AAAAATTCCCCCTGCCGATGTTTTGGCAGCTTCCGCTCCCACGGGCGCACTCCCCGATTGTGCGATGATGATACCATCTACCCCCGTACAAACTGCAGTTCGTACCATCGCACCAAAATTACGCACATCCGTAATGCCATCCAACACGAGAAAAAAAGGCGTGGTTTTGTCTATCAATGATTTTTCAACCAGCAATTCCAAATCCGTAAATTCCACACAAGCCATTTTTGCAACTGCCCCCTGATGGTTTTGATATTTAGAAAGTTGATCGAGTTTTTGAAAGGGAACATAACTCATCGCTATTTTTTTCTCAGTAGCCACCGCTATTAATTGACGCATCAAATACCCATCTGTTTTTTTTTGAATAAACAATTTATCAATACTACGCCCGCTTTCCAAAGCCTCTAAAATAGCTCTGATACCAAAAATAGTAGTGTTGCTACTCGCTGTTTTTTCGTCCATTTTAGTAATTAATTTGACCTGTGATTTCTAATCCGTAACCGATCATTCCCACGCGTTTCACTTGTTTGGAATTGGTAATGAGTTGCAATTTGGCAATGTCTAAATCGTGTAAAATTTGTGCACCGATACCAAAATCTCGTTCGTCCATTGTGGTGGTTTGTTGTTCATTTTCAGGAACTTCTTTTAATTTTTGAAGCAAGTTGAATAAATGATTTTCTTGGTTGATCAAAACCACCGCCCCAAAATCATTTTGCTCGAGAATACTAAAAATCTTATCTATTTTATGCTTTTTTTCGGTAGATAAAAAAGACAATATATCATTGCCAAAATCATTGGAAATCACCGCCGTAGGTACGGGAAAATCTTTTTCCCACTGCCCTTTTGTAAGAGCAATGTGTATTTGATCGCTGGTGGTTTGGCGGTAAGCTCTTAATCGAAACGCCCCATATTTTGTATCCCAATTTTTATCTACCACTTTTTGAATCAGCGAGTCGTGCTGCATTCGGTATGCCACCAAATCCTCTATAGAAATCAATTTTAAATCGAATTTATCCGCAACTTTTTTCAGCTCAGGTAGTCGTGCCATCGTCCCATCTTCATTGAGAATCTCAACCAAAATACCTGCAGGTTTCATCCCCGCGAGTCTTGCCAAATCTACAGCAGCTTCGGTGTGTCCAGTACGCCTAAGCACCCCTCCTTTTTTTGCTTT